TATATATACACACACACCACAAAACACGACGAGAGATGCTTATGTAACATCTGCATTGTAGTTGTTGTTGTTTTTTCTTTCCCCCTCTTCACACACTCCCTCATTCTTTTCTCTTCTCCCTTCCTTCCTCGCCCCTCTCCATTGCGCGACGGCTGCTATGCTTCTCCACCAGGCAATACGACGAAAAAACAAACCGAACCAAAATAAAACACACACAAAGAGAGGGAAGCGGCGCAGTGAGGTGAGAGAAGCTGGCGTCAGGCGTAGTAGTTCAGGCTGGACTTCTTGCGGGCCTGCACGGCGGCGACGCCATCTGCGAAGTTCTCGTGCGCCACGTACGCTCGGTCGTTGCGCAGCGCCAGCATGCCCGCCTCGACGCACACCGCCTTCAGCTGCGCGCCGCTCATGTCCTCCGTCATGCGCGCGATCTCCTCAAAGTTGACGTCGCTGTGGAGGGCCATGCGGCGTGAGTGAATCTCGAGGATGCGGGCGCGCGACTCCTCGTCGGGCAGCGTGAACTCCACCTTTCTGTCGAGGCGCCCGCTTCGCAGCAGCGCGGGGTCGAGCACGTCGATGCGGTTCGTCGCGGCGATGACCTTCACGTCGTCGGTGCTGCCGAAGCCGTCGAGCTGCGAGAGGAGCTCCAGCATCGTGCGCTGAACCTCACGCGAGCCGTGCTTACCGCCCGCGTCGCTGCGCCGCGAGCCGATGGCGTCGAGCTCGTCAATGAAGATGATCGTCGGCGCCTTCTTCTTGGCGAGCGCGAAGGCGTCGCGCAGGATGCGGGCGCCCTCACCGATGTACATCTGCACCAGCTGCGGCCCCGCGAGACGCAGGAAACAGGCGTCCGTCGCCGCCGCGCAGGCACGCGCGAGCATCGTCTTGCCGGTTCCCGGCGACCCGTACAGCAGCACGCCCTTGGGCGGCTTGATGCCGATACGCTCGTACTTCTCCTTCTCCGTAATCGGCAGCACGACGGCCTCGATCATCTCGTTGATCTGCTTGTCAAGGCCGCCAACGTCGGTGTAGCTTTCCTTCGGCTTCTCCTCGATCTCCATCGCCTTGACTCGGCTGTCGTACTCCGGCGGCAGCGTGTCAAGCACGAGATACGTGTCCTTGTTCACGCCGACAAGGTCCTGCGGCTCCAACTTGTTCGCGTCCACGAGGCCGACAACCGGCAGGAAGACCGTCTGGCGGGTCGTCGTCTTGATTACAACGCTCTTCTGCTTGCGCTTCGACTTCTTCTTGCCGACGTCAAGCTCCTCGTCCTCTCCCTCGTCGTCGTCCATGTCAAGCACCTCCGCTACGCTGGCCACTAGGTACGGCAGCTTGTTGTTGTCCTTGACACGTTTTCTGTCATCCTCTAGTACCTTCTTGAGGCGCTGCAGCTCGTTCATCTTTGCACGCTCCTCGTTCTTCAGCTGCTGGATCTCGCGCTGCAGATGATTTGCGCGGGTGCGGAGCTGCGCGTCGGTGAGGCTCTCGATGTTGGCTAACTCTTCGCTCGACAGGTTGCTGTTCAGCGCCGCATTGCTACTGCCGCCACCCTCGCGGCCGCCGCCCGTGACTGTCGCCCCCTTCAACATGAAATGCACGTGTCGTTCCCTCCGTTGCGTGCTCTGCTTAAAGAGGTCTGCGTGCCACTTTGTGTTTCTCTCTCTCTCTCTCTCTCTCTCCCGGTCTAGCTGTTCGCCCCAATTGCGTGACTCAAGCAAAAAAGAAAAAAGGAAATTAGTCTCGCTCTCCCTTTCTCTCTCGCTCTCTGTGTGTGCTTCCCTGTTCCACGCCACCGCTTTGTTTTGTTGCTGTTTCCCCCCTTTTGTTCCGCGGAGCTCGTTCCTCCTCTCCACAGGCGCCCAGCCAAAACGACACAAAGATGACAAGACAGAAGGAGAGACAGTGCAGGGGCCGCGGCAGCGAGAACAAAGCAGCCAACGATAGAGAGAGAGAGAGAGAGACAACAGCAGTGTGCCACAAGACAGCCCAGGAACGCACACCACATGACTCCGCAAAAAAAAAATAATACAGACAACAAATAGAGTCGCACAAATTCCTTCTTGGTCTTCTAGTTGATGTTTTCCTCTGTTGTATCACTCTTCGCGTGTCCCCCATCCCCACCCCCACCCCCTTACTGACTTCTCTTCTACTCCTTTACTTTTTCTTCCCACTTGATGGAACTTCCACTCTCTTTCTTCATGTTGGTTTTACGATACTAGTCAGGCGGCAGTCACTTGCCACACCGTCACTTTCTTCCACGCAATATAGCCACGACAGGCGGCACATTTTCAAGCCATGCCGACACGAATATTTAACAGACACAAGAGCGCCCACATACATACACATTCACGCCTCCCCCACCGGTAATTGGGGGACTCATCACCTGGTAACAGCGTGGGACGGCCGCTCCGCCACACGCAGCTCCTGCATGATGCTACCGAGTCGCTCCTGTGCGTTATGCAGCTCTTCCTGGCAGAGCCGCGCCTCCGCTAGCAGCTCATCCCGCTTCTTCCGGGCCAGGGCGTCCTCGCTATCATGCCTCCCCGGGCGGCTGGAAGAAGCGCGGGCACCGGAGAGGTCAAGCGCGTACTTCTCTTCCAGCACCTGGCGCAGCCGTTCGACCTGCAGCTCAAACGCATCGTCGAAGTGCACGGAGGCCGATGATGACAATGCCGCACTGTCATTGAAGACTATTTGCGTGGGTGAGGGTTCGTGCGGCTTGCGAGGGAGTGGACTCATCCCTTGAATGAGTCCGTGGTCGTTATCCTCGCCATCATTGTAAATATGATTATTGTTGTTGTTGGTGGTGTTATGGCTTCCAAGGAAGTGTTGCAGCGCCCGCTCCGTGAGCCGCTCCGTGAGGGCGGTGACGTCGGGGCGCAGTGAAGCCTGCAAGTCCTGCGGTGGATCCACCATCATCTTCTCGTCCAGCACGAAGCCGTCAGAGCTGTTGACGGCGCCTCTGCTGCTATTGCTGGTGTTATTCTCTGTCATATTAGTCTTCACCGAAACAGGATCCGGGAACAGCTTCTCCAGCACCGAAAGCACAATGACGGAATATTTCTGGCGGGACAGCTCGCCGCGGTGGTACGGCTCATCCAACACGCGCTTGATGAGTCTTGCGGCCTCCAGTTTGGCGGGCGGCACATTGGAGAAACGCGCCGTATCTGCATCGCTGAGCCGTACGCCACCCTTGCTGCACCGGCGGCGGTACTCACGCTCCACCAACTCCCGCAGCCGCCGCAGGTCCTTCTCACCAAGCGGCACCGACGCCTCCCGCGGTGACCTGTCGCAACTCACCGACGCCCCTACGGGACTGTTGCTGAGGTGCTTCATGTTTTTATTCGCCGAGTCGTTCCTGCTGCTGTAGCTGACAGAGGGTGGAGATGCAGTTTCCCTGTTGCGGTTGTTGTTGGTGTTGCCCGCTTCTGCGCTACACGGCGGCGTTGTGCTGTGCCTGTGCAAGCCGTTACTGCTTCTGCTGCTGCCACGCTTGCGCAGAAACGCGGTAGCGGCCTCCACGCATATGGCGATGAAGCCATCACGCGAGAGCAGCGAGGCCCCTGGCATGGCGCTCAGCATCGCCTTCGCCTCCAATACGCAGTCGCGGGCCGTCATTTGCGAGAGATTCCTTCAGCCCCTGCTACCAGCACAACAGAAAGGTCACCTGCTGTCCCCCTTTGTTTTTGTTTTTGTTTTGCCTCACGGAACTCCACACATACGCACAAAACACGAGAGAGAGAGAGAGCGAGAGATAAAGGAGGGGAACGTGGTGTAGGCACACGTCTTTGTGTCGCATCACGCAAGCGGTCACTCTCGCCGGACGAAAACCAGCACGGGAAGGAGTCACGCAGAGTACACAGACGCCACAGTATAGCTATTTACACGGCTCCAGCGTAAACAGATCATTCGTCACACGTACAGTAGCCACATCATCACCACCAGCGCCCCTCTCTCCCACGGGTGGTGTGGCAAGAGAGCGCCCTGTGGTTGTCTGCGGGTTGCCTGTGCACTGCACAGCACTCGGCTTGGCATCGCATGGAAGGCTCCTTGCATCACCAGCGTTGCGGTACGCAAGAGACCACCATTGCCCATCTGCGCCCTGCAGCCAACAGAGAGGATGACCACCGCCACTGCTGCTGCTGCTGTTAATTGCACCAGGGGGTGTCACAAGGTGCACAAACGGCACTGCTGTGTCACCCGCTAGGCCGCGCACTGTCCTCGACGTCCGCGGCTCCCACAATTGGCACGTTGCGGCACCGCTGTCAACAACAGCAGCCAACGTGGCACCCCCAATAAAAGAGAGCACCACCACTTCCGAAGGTGTCGCATGGGGGCCGTTCGAGTCACACACGCACCGCAGCAAAGTGGGTTCCGCAGGCAGCCGCTTCGCCGACTGTGCATTCCCCACAGCGATGTTTCGCAGGTCAAGAACAGTACGATCATTGATCTTTCTGCCGCTACCGCTACTGCAGGGCACTTCACCAAAACGCCCCTCGACCGTCCTGTTCCCCGCTGCCAGGCGGACCACAAGGGCGCACGGCACGCTGCGCAGGACCGTATCCGCACAGTACAGCATCTCCCGAGAACACAGCACCGTCCCATCCGCTGCTGCCGTTGTGCAGCTATTGAGACACATTTCTGAGAGAAAGTCAAAAAGTGGGTGGACGGTTGTGTTGGCGCTAAGTATGTCTGTCACACAAACGCTTGCCAACGGCGCGGTACCCCCCTTTTCCCCCGCAGCCCACGACACACGGAGAAGTAGAAATAAACTCTCACGAAAGTCACCTGTTGTTGGCGACAGTGACAGTGACAGTGCAGTTCCCGAGAGCACAAACCAACAGTTCCGCCCGTAAGTTGCAAAGGGGCGAAGCGTGCAGACGAGGAGTGAGCAGACGTCGCTCGCACTGCGCCGTGTCCCATCGGTGGCCGAACGGCCCAGAGCATCATCAGCCGCGGCTCCACGGGGAGGCTGTAAGTCGCTCACACAAATCACACGGCCTGCTGCCGTCATGACAACCGCCGTCGTCCGACAGACAAGGAGCAGATGGGGTTCATGTGCATCTGTCGTCCCACCGAGGGATTGGGTCCCCGCCGCCACGCACCCTCCCTTATTCGTGTAGAAGGCCGCCATGCAAATGTTAGCCGACCCCGATGAGAAGAGAAGCGTTAGTGCAGCCACTGTCTCCGTGTCCTTTGCCGAGGGCCACTGCACACGCGAGATGTGGCTGCAGGAACTTACACATTTCCCGTGCATTGTGCTGGGGGATTTTTGGTGAATACGGCATATGTCGCCAGAACGGAATAAAACAATCTCTTCTTCCTGCTGTTGCTGCGGTGCAGAATCATCCGCCCCGTCACGGGGTGCGGTGCATCGGCACAACACCTGCAGTTGTGCGTGCTGGACGCTCCCAACGTTATACTCCACGTCAAGCATACTTGCTGGATGCGTTAACGCCGACAGACCAATACGTGGGGGAAATGTGCCCATCATGCCGCCTCGTTGACTCTCCACAGTGGAGCCTTTACTGCTACAACCCCACACGAGCTGCAGCGCTCCTCCTCCTTGGAGGCGCAACTCCGCCGCCAGCAAACTGCATTGCAGACGCCTTGTCTCCTCCTCTTCCTGTGCGGCTAAGAACAGCGCCACCCCCCTCGACCCATCCCACTGCAGACTAACAAAGCGGCGCAGGTGTGGCAAGGGACGCGGCACCGCCGGGCCCAGCAACGACACATCCCGAACCTTCACCACAACAAGGCCTAATAACGGTGCAGCGCCGTTAAGGTTTTCCTCGAAGCCACGTATAGCAGACGTGGCAGCAGCAGCAGCAGCAGCGTGCACTTCCATGAGGAGGACATTACCGCCACTCTGCATCGTCATTATCACAGCGACAACGCGGTCCCGACCTCTCGCAGAACTACTCAAGCGCCGCGTCTCTTCAGGCCACACCACACAACTTGTGGCGCTTTCAACGAAGCTCCCAATGTGGCAACGCGTCACCTCACAGCTCTCCGTGTAGAGTGCAAAGCAAAAGTCCTGCGCCTTGTCCTGATGCGCCAGCGGCGTTGCAGCGGAAGCCGCCCATGTATCGTACACACCTCTCTCGCGCAGAAGCGCACTCATCGGGTAGGCGACATGAGCGGGGCGGAGAAATACGCCCAAGACGTCTGCTCCATCCCCCCCGAGACCCCCGCCCTGGAGTGTAACGTGGAGCAGGAACGAGGGATGGGCGAGGGTAAGCGCCTCCAGGCACCATGGGCCATCTGTGCACGATCCGCAAAGTGTCTCTTGCACGCCGGCCCACACATTGTCCTTGCTAGTGTCATCAGACGGCTTTCTCCGTTGCCGCCGCGTAGAAAGCATGCAGACAGAGAGACGATCCATGAAAGGATCTCCCGCTGCAAGTGTGTGTTGGTGCAGAACAGCAAGTAGTGGGTACTGCTGTTGGTAGTCACGCGAGAACGGCATCCAATGCAAGGCCCGCACCTCCCCTTGTACCGCACTCCCACCACCATATGTGTCTAGCTGCAACGCCCCAAGTGTCATTTGGCGAAACCCGCGCAGTGTCCGCCACGGCGATGGTGCGTCTCCCTCTATTGCCTGCCACGTCACATCCACATACTCCACACATCCCACCACACGCACAAAGGCGATACGCAGAACGAGCATCTGGGACGTGCTCTGGAAAAGACGTGGAGAAGCGTTTTTATTGAGACGCCGACTTGGTGGCGATGGATGTTGTGAGGATGAAAGGGGTGGAACAGGAGTCGTGTTGATGTTGCTGCGCTCCAAGATGACGCTCAAGGGCACAGTCAACTGCTGAAGCGAGGTGCGGTAGACGCTCACCCCTCTTTTCCCAATGGAACACCACCGCACCGCCAACAAACGGGCCTCCCCAACATTTCTATATTTGGTGTTGTTGCTGCTGCTGCCATTGTGGCTATTATTGTTGACTTGGGTGCCGAATACGTCTAGCAGGAAGGATGCGAACACGACACAATCGCATTGCAGGACAAAGAACAGTACCACATGCGTTCCCTGCGTCACCAGCGTCGCGACAGCGCTGATGCCACCACGCATCTCTCGGCACGAGGGGCACCTGTCCTGCAACAGGTCGGCATCGTCATGCTTCATCGACTCCTCGGCGGCACGCTGAAACTCTGCAACGAGTGGAAAGTCGCGCGCCTCCTCCTTGCTGCGATCATCATCATCATCATCATCATCATTAGTATTATTATTGCTGCAGGACTGCAACTCTGGGAATGAAATGCAGCAGAGCTGCTCCGAGGTGCCCTTCACCGGCGCATCAACTTCGCCATGCAGAACGAAGTAAATGCGTTGGTTGCCAAGCAAAAGGACATCCACCACAGCGCACGGTGACTTTTCCCCCGGCGATCGGCACAATGAAGAGGAGGAACACAGCGACGACACCACCGTCGTTGCCCGAAGCAGCCGGCCCATTGCGCCTTCCGCGCCACGCAGCAACTAATCGCTCCCCTCCGCCGCGCAGGGCCGCGTGTCCCCGCAGGCACACACACTCACACTCTCTGGAGAACCAGCCGAACTCAGCGGCTGATGTGATGAAAGAAAAAAAGGATCAAGAGGAGAGGACAAGAGAAAAAAANAAAAAAAAAAAAAAAAAGAGAGACAGAGAGAGAGAAAGAAGAAAAACAAAACACACATCACATCTTCGCCACAATCACACACAGCACGGGGCCGTACACCCAGGGACGCATGGGACGAAGAGCAAGAGGAGGAGCGATGAAAAATAACACATGGCGCACACAAGACTACAAATAACGATGGGAAACGAAGAATGTACGACTCCGTGGCAGCAAAACGAAAAACAGTGTAAAATGCGCACGGCGAGAAAGTTCGGGGAGCAAAGGGGACAGACACTCACGCGGACTCTCACTACTCCCCGCCCCCCACCCCCTTATCCTCCTCCTCTTTTACAATCTTTCGCTCCCCCCCCCCAAGAGTCATAACGCAGTGGGTAGCGAGTCTGAGAGTCAATGAGAGAGAGAGAGCATGTGAGCGACTGGGTAAATGAGGTGGAGTGTGCAGAGATGTCACAACTTCGCCTCGCAGCCGTAAGCCTTCACAAAGTCCTCCGTCACGAGCGACGCCAATTGGCCCGCCAGCTCAAAGGCGGCGAGCCCCACAGCACGCACGTCCATCACCCTCCCTGCATTGGCCGGGACCGCCACCGACAGACTGTACTCTAATCGTGGGTCCTCCTCCTCATCGCGAAGGACAATCAGCGGCTGTCGCTTAACCTCCTTCACTGTCAGTTTCACGCCCTTATCCGTCACCTTCTCAAAGAGGCGCGTCTCGTCCTCGGAGAGGTACACCAGCTGCCCATGCTCCGCGGGAAGGACATCTGAGACGTCGTCCTCGGAAAGTTGAATAATAGGCATCGCAGCGTACATCTCCACCTCCTGCCGCCGCATCGGGGGCCGCGAGCGCAACAGAAGACGGACGTCTGGTCCACAGGCGTGCGTACACCACGCGGTCTGCACATTGACCCAACCGCTATTCACGGAAAGAACCTTACCCTTGCTGTCAAGCTCGAGATTGATTTGATCTTTGGCCCGCTTTATGGATCCACTGTATGTGAGCTGTGCCCCTTTGCTTAGAGGCACGAATCCCTCAGGCTTCAACAATTGTTCTTGAATTGCATTAACGCAGGATTCTGGAAGTGTCGACACCCATGTGTACGGATAGTTCAGCTGCATCCGTTGCTGAAGTGTGAATGATGAGACAATACTACGATTCTTCCGCATGACCGTTGGCTGAAGCAATAACTTGCCAAAGTCCACAAACAGTTCACCGTCCATCTGCAGGTTGCTCATGTTTAAGCAGCACCACTGAAGGACCTTACTGTACCGGGAACGAATGGCAACATCTTTTTCTGACGCAGACAACGTGTAGCACTCTGTGTTCGCAGGAAACCCAGGAAAGGCGGTGGTATTCACACGTGAAATCACCACATCCGCAGCTGTGTTGCTAACAAGTAGCTGAAATGCTTTCGGTGCCATGTTAGCAGATCCCTCATAAAATCCAGCCTGAGCGAGGTCCAGAAGCGTTTCGGGCTGCATTACTGTTGATTGGTTCCAGCGCCCATAGCCCCCATGTTGCTGCTGTTGCTGCGATGGTGACACTTGTGCCCCACCTTTAGCTGCAACATCCTTCGAATGAAGATACTCCTCCACCTGCCGCACCACCGCTGACTTTTTGGCGGACGGATCAGTCTTTAGACCGGAGCGGGCGAGGAACCCCTGTAGCTGGACCAGCGAAAGGGAAAAGAGGTTTCCCTCATTCCAGAGCGCCCACACCTTCTCAGGTGGCACGGTCTCAGTTTTGACGGATTGCTGGTCCCGCATGTTCGCCGCTGACTGCTGCGCACCGCTCTGGTGGTGACGGCTAAGTGCCAACACGGAGGAAGGCCCGATGACGGAATGCCTCAGCAGCCGAAGCATGAAGCCCGCCCCTTTCTTTTCCGTGTGTGTATGTGCCTCTGTGTGGACGCGTGAGGAAAGCCTGGATATGGCTGCTCGTTTGAATTAGTTAGCCTGCACGCCTCTGGTGGTACCCCTCTCACCTCCACTGCTTCCTTGCACTCTGTAAAGACGGTGTTTTACCTCCCTTTCGCTTTTGCTTCCTTGGTGATTGTTCGGCTTGTTACGTTACGAACTGATACCTTCACTCTCTCTCTCTCTCTTCTTTTCTCTTTGGTTTGTTTTGGTTTTCCTTGCTTCGTCACAGCTATCCCTTTGTGTGCGTGTGCGCGTGTGTGAGGAAGCGCTACGGCACGTAATAGAATCCCGGCAGCAAAGAGAGACGGAGGGAGAGAGAGTGCTGCGGCAAAACAAGAAATACGACGATGGCTCACTGGCTGACAGAATGGCGTTGCCCCATGTCTTCCCGAGCTGCATCGCCGTCGCGAGGCCGCGACTCGCCCCCAGTCACGAGCAGATCGGTGGGGCTTGGAAGCACACACACCCGCGTGATGAGTGAAACCGCTCGTTCCTTCTTTTTTGGGGGGTTTCCTCCTCCTCCTCCTCCTCGTGCCTCTTAATCATTCGCTCTTTTCCTCCTCTCAAGTACCCACACATTCTGCCTCGGCGTACCTCTACGGGCGCGGCCTGCCTGGCTGTATAGAAGAGAATACACCCGTCCGTGCCCGCCCGCCCACCAGCGAGGCGGGTGGGGTGAACGCCGTCGGGGGCCGCAGCGCAGCGGCAACAAAAAACAACAACAACAGCAGCGGCAAAAGGACGAAGGAGGAACGGCAGGAACAAAAGAAGAACAAAAAAAACATTAAAATCAGGGGGAGAGGTAACCAAACAAAGAATGAAAGAAAAAAAAAAAGAAAACAAGTGTATCGCAGTAACAATCAGTCACAAAAAGAAAACTCCAACAGTGGGCTAGATCCTCAGCACATATCACTTGTGCTTCGAAAAATAGTTGTTGGCTATTCTTTCGTCGCTCTTCCTCTTTCTCTCTCTCCCCGCAACCAACGCATCTAAACACCGCACTGCCCTTCTATGGGGCCAGTAGCCGTGGTCGTCGTACTGTGAAGCGGAAATAACTGAAGGAGATTGGGATGATGGGTGTGTGTGTGTGTGTGTGTGTGTGTGTGTGTGAGAGAGAGAGAGAACAAAAATAAACAACAAGGTCTGTTTGTTTGAAGAGGTTGGGAAGAATATATTCGTGCACACAAATCTATATTTGCATACATGTGCATATATATATATATATATATATATATTTATATAATTATCTATGATGCCACAGGGGACTGTGTGCGGGTGCATGCGTTGCGAGGGGGAAGCTCCACGCCGTCCTCATCCGACTCACCCTCGCAAACGGTCACACGTGGATCTCTCGACAGACTCAACGATGCCGGCCACCACTCCTCACTGCACACCACCGCTGCCGTGGCAGAGGAGTCTGCTGCGCCAGCAAAGCTGTCATTCAAGCATCGAGGCACGGGCTGGGCAGGTGGAGGCGGTAAGAATTGCTGATGATGATGATTCTGCTCCCCCTGAAACCCTTCATTGTCATGCTCGTGCTCATCCTCCGTCAGACTACGGCAGCTCCTGCAGTTGCATGCACTGCCATAGTTATCGTCTTTTTGGTCAGTCGAAAGGGTCTCTTCCTCCCCTTGCTGGGACTCGCGTTGATAGTGCTCCAGGCTCGCAGGGATACTGACGGGGTCAACAATAATTTGCTCTTTTGGTGTGGTGGGGCTGTCGGGCCGTCGGACGGCTGCACCCATGAAGGTGGCCTGCTGTTGCTGATGATGATGTAATTGCACCTGCGCCAGGGCCACTCGATCAGCGCCGTGGCCGAGGTCGAACACTGTACGTACCTCGGGAGGACAGGCGTCCGGCAGACGGTGCACGCCACCACACTGGGTCCCCGCCACGCACGAACTACGCACCCAATTCAAGCAGAGATTCTGCGGGCACAAGGCGAATGGACAGCTTGTTGGGTGCCGGCACGAGCCGTACCAGCGCAGGCAAGGGTGCACCTCGGTGCAAAACGCCCGCTCTTCTGCTCGCACGTTAGTGTCCGCAACAGCGGTGGTAAAGGCGGGGCTTTGCTTGGCCTCTCCGCGTGGCCGAGCAACGCGCTGATTAGGTGGTGTCCGCAGGAGCGTTTGCGTCCAGTTCTCACTTCGAGAATGGGGGTTCAGCGGACTTGCACGCATGGCGGAGTTGTATCTGTTGCTGCAGCTGTCGGTGGTCCTTGGCGTATCGTCTTCGAACGCCAGTGGCTTGCTAGGCGTTGGATGCGTCGAAGCGCAGCAGCGATCCAGAATACCGAGGCTGCCACCCGGCTGCGGTTGCTGCATGACTGCTGAGGATTCACTCCCAGAGACACCATCGCCGTTCTCACCGCATTGATTCGTTGGTGAGATAGCATGTCGCATAGCAAAGAGGCGAGCCTTGCTTTGAATAAAACGTGCGGCCTCCAAATTGCAGCTGCTAAGCTCCAGCAGAATCTGCACCAATTCATCGTTCTCCGCTGCTAGCAGATCCCTCTCCAACGCTCGGCCAACCATACCCGTGGAGGCAAGTCCAGTGACATTAGACGGGCTGTAGGCGGGAGACAACACGACCGGCGATGTGCACGGACGTTTCTTCGTGTCAGTTGTCTGCCATCCACGCGTGGTGGACGGCGAGCCGGAACCGTTGCCCACAGAGGCGTTTTCGGAGAAGGGCGAGGGAATCATCATCGACGCCTGAAGGGGCATCACCCCCGCCGCTGTCACCGCCGCCGAGGCGGCGCATCCCACATTTATACGCACGGAAGCAGGAGTGTTGCAAGACCGTTGTTGTTGTTGCTGCTGCTGCTGCTGCTGGTGTCGGCTCTGGTACGGGGTGCGCAGACATGCTGTCGCCATCGTGGGGGAGCCTACTGAAACAGTGGCATTCCCCTGCGCACGTGAAGCCACCGGATCGCACGTAGGCCCCACGATGGAATGATACAATAGAGAGTGAACGTGCGGCGGCAGCAGATGAGCGGCGCAGGCTGCAGAGGCCGTGTTATGCACTGGGAGACACGGTTGCTGTGGCTGCTGATAATGATGATGGTGTCGTTGTTGTTGTTGTTGTTGTTGACTGCAGTGATGCAGTGGGGAAATTTGAATCGTCGTGTGCTTCTGTAGTGTAGTAGCGCGATGGCGGCAATGGTCGGTGTCCCTCTCACGTGGAACGCGAAGTGCTGCTGCAGGAGAAACAGCACCAGACATATTCTATGTGGTCCTACACAGCAAACAATGACCCGGCTGTGTGGTTTGCCTTGTTGTTGTTGTTGGTGGTGGTGTAGATGGGTGCTTTGAACGTTCTCGTCTATTAATTGTGCACAAACTGTTCGCGTTGTCACACGAACGCACAACAGTCAAGTATTTTGTTTGTTCCACCAATACAGAAAAAAAAAGAAAAAAATGACCTCCTTTCAAAAAAAAAAAA